AGGTGAATGTCTTCCAAAGTGCCTTTAAATGCTTGCTGACAGTGGTTGTTGACAAAGTTCTTAAATATATCACGGACGTCCCCATCGCAGAGAGAGCAACGGCCAAAATACGTTATCATATTACAGAACGAAGTAATCTGGAATCTATAGTCTTAAACAGCCATGATGACCTGTTAAGAAGACTGAAACGGTCGGCTGATCGACCGACAAACTGACAACCAAAGTTGACAAATGTCCCATGTTTTTAAGATTAACCCGTATATAAACAAGACATTCTGAGTACCGAGCCGAACGGATCGATCAATCTCTACCCATGGCGCCAAAAACCTTGTCACGCGGTCGACCCTTTGTAGGGAGAATATAAAGTCATTAGCAAGATGGGCGGACTGGTGAGCATACTATTGACGAAACATGATCACTCCGTTGCCTTTTGACGAAATCCGAACTCAGGAATGATGCATTTATGGGCGATCAGTTTTTCGATTGTAAAATTCTTTGGCAACATTTCAATATTGATTGACTTACGTTTAATATTCGTGGTTGATTACGGGCATACCTGTCAAGCCTTGAATTAGCATGTTAAGTCATTGTCTAAAACATGTAAAATTTTATCATGTATTCAGAAGTAAAGGACACAATGCTTCATCAACTTCTATTCGATGTCACAGGTGTTCTGCCTGTAACTGAAATCAGAGTGCCCCTCATCTAGCTGGAGTCTCCTTAAACTCAGCCGCTGCCAGTTTCAAGACCTCAGTGACAGTGAAGGTCAGCTAGAGACCATAGGAGCTATCAGAAAAATTCTAACAGTTTCAGTGCTCAGAGTTGCTCTCCTGCTACAGCAGTCCGCATCACTGTTTTCATCTCCTGATTCTACCTGCGTCTCCTGATCGCCTGACCAGTTCTACCGAACTGCTCAATTTTGGACCAAGCATAGAGCGATTAAGTTATTATTCGCTGCAGATTGTGCAATTAAGTTCGTATGTTGGCCAGTGAAACAGAAATAATTTCGAGTAGCTTTACTTTCACACAACTTCAGCAAGAAGGTACACGAGTACCTACACGTGTGTTTTATACTTTTGCATTGCCTTTCAGTGTATTTGTTGAAAAGAAGCTCCAATTCTTTAGTAGAAAGTAACTCTATAATATCCACGCATTAATCCACGTCTGTTCATCCAGGAAATGGTCAAATTGATTAAACTTTAGCGCATTTACAAATAGCAATGAGTTCTGCTTTTGCGACGATAGCAACGCGAGTTGTATAGGCTAATAAACTTTCACTGACTGATTTGAGAACATGATTCATGGTTAAGACCTTCCCACAGAATATTCATTACTCTTTCCTCGCTGATCCACGGACCTCATTGTCGTAAATAGTTACCTACTAAAATATATTTAATCACCGTCATTCACATATTGGTTTATATTAAGCAGCAACTAACTGACCGCTTCAGGTTAAGTCAAGAACGAGAAATGATCGTTTTCAAGGCAGTGCTTGTTCTTGAGGTAAATCTTGGAACTTCAAGGGAGCAGAATTCAGAATTTTATATCTCATTTCGCTCCTTAGTAACAAAATTATCGAAACCTCATGAACATCGTTTTTCTGTTACAGATTTTAAGCATCGACAGCGTTCATGTTACAACTCATGTTCAGATTTGTGAGTATGGGAAATATGCAATCTCCATACTAAAGAAGTAATCGCGCAAGTTAGCAACGGTTCATTCCCTTAAACAGCAGCGAAATCGTCAAATCAAGTACATACCTGTCGCTGCGAAATCTGGTACCGAATAGGTTTTGGCCGTACAACGGCTGATACCGAATCCACATATGGCTGTTCGGCGACCACCACTGAATCTGGTCCGACAGCCATGTGTCTCGCTGGTGTGATCGGTGAAAAGGCTGAGTTAACGCTGACCTGCAAAACCTGCTTAGCTCCATTCATCCGGACCACCTTCGGCGACAAAATGGTCAGCTGCGAGAGGTCAGCTGTCGCTACAGCAGCTTTTTCTGGCGTGTCACTCACACAGCTGGACAAAGATGATCGACTCTCTGAAACAAGGCATGTTTCAGACAAGTTCCATGTTTCATATACGTTCTCATGTAATTGAACTGGATCCTGCATTTCTTTCCTGCCACTCTGTACACAGTTTCTTATATCTTATGTAACCCAAGTCATGAACCGCGAGGTTCATCAACCAAGCAGTGGACAACTACACGAACTCTGACCCTGATCCCTCATGGTAGTTTATCACCTTAATATAAAGGTTACATTACGGAGCTTGCTTCTGAAACAATATCGATAGCGTTCTTCCTGAATCCCCTTACAAACTATGTAAATGGGAGGAAAGACGAACTGACGATGCCAAAAGAGAGATTCGCAATACAGACTGTCATGGCAAAGCAACATAAAAGACTGCTAAGACGCAGAAAGCTTATCATCTAACCTTGTTTCCTTCGCCTTGAACTCCACGGCCTAGAACCTGCTCCTTTGGAGGAGGACGAGAACTCAAATACTTACTTTAGCTCATGTCTCCGTGTCCTTTTAAAAGAAATAATGGACTTTGAAAATGAATGAATGAACAAACTTATTTGCCAAAATTCGATGCCCATTAATGTAAGAGGCAGCTGATGATCCAAGACCCTATTCTGATTTGACACGACATTGTCCATCAAGGAAGCAAAGCAACAACTGTTGTGCTGTTTCGATGAATCGATGACACACGTTAAAATAGTCTTAAATAATCGATTATCCACTGTTCGACTTCATTTTGAAGAAGCCAGCGCCATATGACAGCGATGGAAAGGATACGTTGACAAAATCAATAAATGTCACAATATACTTTAATTTAAATCCCGTACTTGAATTTCTTCGAAATTAATTTTCAAAGATACAGGAATAAAGAGAGTATTTCACTTCGTTATGCTCTGACAGAAAGAGATGCTTACAGTACGCTACAGTTGCCTCTCTGTCAATTTTTAAAATTACTGTCCGACGCAGGACAGTTGGGTGCTTTCTTTAAAACGCCACGTGACAGATGGAGCAGGACGAAACGAGATCTAGGCAAGTTGAAAATTGCATGGTTGCATGTAGGAAACTAGGCAATGGCACTTGCCTAGTTGGTGAATGGGCATATAACCTAAAGCTGCTGTTCCGCAACCAGAAAAGAATAGTAGGTTCTGCAACTGGATGGATAATGGACAATCCGCACTAGTGAAACTCAAATTTATGATATACAATAAACAACGACTGCACTTCGAATCTGTTGACTTGTTGTGTCTCATCTCAAAGTAAGTCAGAATCGTTTCCATCATGCTTATTCTCGAGTGTAACTTAAGTTTGAAAAACTAGGTAGTTTTGTAGAAAATTGACAGAACTCCTCAAATATGCTTAAACTGTTCTGAAACGTACAATCTTATTAAAATTTCAGGCGGAGGGATTGAGGAGATA